CAGGGAGGCAGTCAAGATGAGGACACAAAAAAACATGTTCCAAATGAAAGAAGAGAACAAAACTTCAGAAAAATAACTAAACAAAATGGAGACAAGCAAGTTACCAGATAAGGAGTTCAAAACACTGTTTACAATGATGTTCAATGAACTTAGTGAGAACTTTAACAAAGGGTTATGAAACATAAAAAAGGAGACAGAAAACATAAAAAAGAATCAGTAAGAAATGAAAGATACAACAATTGTAATGAAGAATATGTTACAGGGAATCAACAGTATATAAGATGAAGCAGAGGATTAAATCAGTGATTTGGAAGACAAGGTATAGGGAACCATCCCTTCAGAACAGCAAAAAGAAAAAAGAATTTTTTTTTAAAATGAGGATAGTTTAAGGGACCTGTGAACAACATCAAGTATAACAACATTCATATCATAGGGAAAAGAGAGAGCAAGGGATTGAGAACATATTTGAAGAAATAATGACAAAAAACTTCCCTAACTTAGCCCTAGTTGGTTTGGCTCAGTGGATAAAGTGTCAGCCTATGGACTGGAGGGAAGGCGTGGCTCAGTGGTTAAGGGTCTGCCCATGAACCAGGAGGTCATGGTTTGATTCCCGGTTAGGGCACATGCCCAGGTTTCAGTATCAATTCCCCCAGGGCATGCAGGAGGCAGCCAATTGATGTTTCTTTCTCATTGATGTTTCTATAATCAATTAAAAAATGTTTGAGGTGAAATTTAAAAATAATAATTCCATTATAATAACTACATATGGTGTCAGATGGATACTAGTCCTATTGAGGTGATCATTTCATAAATTATATAAATGTCTAGTCACTATGTTGTAAGCCTAATATAATATTATATGTCAACTGTAGTTGAAAAATAAAAATTATTTTAAAAAAATAAAATAAAAATGCTCCCTGAACAAAAATGAAATTGTCATAGGAATTTAGGTTTATTCTAATCTTGATATTTTACCCATTGGTGTGTCTGATGAGTCATGCCAAATTTTAATTATGACTATTGAGTGGTGCCCGACCAGGGACTGAGTTCTGGGACCAGGGCTTGAGTTTTGACCGTAACAAGTGACGCCAGAGCAGGCCCCTTTGGCCGTAACAAATGGCGTCC